CCTCCAGGACCCGCTGCCACCATGGGAAGGGGTTCAGTCATGGAGCTGTGACACCAGAGACCCCCCCGTCACCTCCTCCCAGCAGTGAGGAACCACCAAGCACCATCTCACCAAAAATAATGTCTTTTTTTTTTCTCCACATGACAGAAGCTGCAGCATTTAAGCCCCTAAAAAAAGCCCAAAAGCAGAAGTCCAGGGGGTGCAGAGCAAGGAGGGGGGAGGGTTTGGGATTCACAGCCTGGTGCCACCATGGTGGAGAAGGGACAAGTCAACCGGCACCAGACTCGGATCATAATCCCATCGGAGCCTGCTGGCTGCAGCAGACACCCAGCTATTACTCAATTAGCGCTCTGCTAACGAGCTCTTGGTGCCAGCCCCCCCCCCCAAAAGGCTGCTCCCAGGCACCAAGGGCAAACTCCCTCAACACCAGCACATGGGGGGCGGGGGGGGGTGTTAAACACACCTGGATTTATTCCATCCATCACTCCTTTTCCACACACCCGCAGTCGTGCAGTCACCATTGCACGGTGTCACCCTTCTCTCTCCCAGCCCAGCACTCCAGCCCCACCCACACCCCCCAGAGCCCCCCCACAACTATCTGCAGCCACACTCGTCCACCACCATGTCCTCGTAGTGTCGCAGCACCACGTTGTCGCTGTTGTCGTAGTAGAGGATGGAGATGGGGGAGAGCCTGACGGGGACGCAGCAGGGCTGGGGGGTCCCCTGGGGGTCCAGGGAGTGCACCATGGTCTGGAGGATGGCGTGGTTGGTGCTGTTGAGCTCGGCCGTCAGGGGAAAAGGGCACTCCCCCAGGCAGTAGTTGGCCATGTAGCCCTGGGGGGCGATGATCCAGTTCTCCCAACCCACCTCGCTGAAGCTGATGTAAAGCTGGCGGGGCTTGCAGAGGTTGCTGGGCATGAGAGGAGGGTGGTGAAGGCTTCTCGATGTAAAGCTGGCGGGGCTTGCAGAGGTTGCTGGGCATGAGAGGAGGGTGGTGAACACTTCTCCTCCTCCTCCTGGAAGCCTCACACTGCTGCTGGCTCAGGGTCACCACCAGCAGAGAGGTGTCCAGGAAGGAGTCGATGCTGGCGCAGAGGCTCCGCAGGCCCCGGCTGGTCGGGGTCGATGCACCTTCTCCGCCGCTCACCGAGATCTCCAGGATCAAGCCCAAATTCCTGCTGTAGGTTCTCCAGTCCTTGGCCACCCCACTCAGGTTGAAGAGGAGAGACTTGCGGAGCTGGGCGAAGGAGCGCTCCACCAGCAGCTTTGGGTCACGGCCCTGGGAGGGCATCCCTCTGAGAGACATCTGGGGGGCTTGGTAGAGCCTCAGCTCGAAAACCTGTCCCCGGCTGGAGGCGTGGTAGGAGTTGTGGCTGAATTTGATCTCCAGCTGAGCCATCGTCAGGCGCTCGCCCTCCTCCAGCGCCGAGAGGTTAAAGTAGAGACGCTTCTGCAGACACAGCAGCCTCGGGGGCTGCCCGTTATGAATGAAGTGGCCTGACAAAGGAGGAGAAACAGAGGTGGCGACGGTTGGACCCGGATCAGGAGTGGGATCAGCCTCCCGGAGCTCCCTTTTAAGCTCTTGGCTGCAGGGCGAGAGGAAGATGGGGCTGAGGGAGGTGGGAAGCCCAGCACCCCGCAGTCCTTGGCTGGATGGAGGTGACAAGGGCACAGCAGGATCCATCAGCCCAATGGCACGGCCTCCAGAAAGGTGCAGAGGCACAAACACCAGCCTGGGCTCCATCCTGGGGCACCGGGACGCTCCAGTGATTCCAGTACCTCCTCTATTTAACATCTCAGTGAGTTATTTTTTCCCCCAGCTGTAAATACCTCCCCCCAGTACGGCGGGGGGTTACGGGCGCTGGTTGTCTGGGGACGGAGGGGAAAGGAGGGCAAGTAGCAGCAAATTTTAGGAAGTGGTGAGCTGCCTGTGGAAGCCAGCCCCAGGTTTCCATTGGAAACCTGGAATCACAAGAGAAGTGAGCTCCCTGGTGGCTCCAGACCCAGAGGACACCAACCAACCAGTCCCCAAGTAACGGAGAACGATTTAGAGAGGTCAGAGGCTGAAGCAGCCAGAGATGCCACCTGGTGACAAGAGGATGAAAAGGAGGAAGGAGGTGGGGGACAGAGCCAAATGGTGGAGCATCCCACCCCCTGTTGGGTGCTGGTCTCGCTGGTGGCACCCACACCCACGTTCCCACTGCCCAGGTGAGGAGTCACCTTGGCCACCGCAAGCCCAATGGGCCAAACCGGTCTCCTGGGGTCAAACCAGCATCTGGGGCCAAACCAGCACCTCTGGGCTGCATTCGGCGACCCCAGGACAGAGCCTTACACAGCCCCCCACCCTCACCCAACATCTACTGCCTCATTTCTAAACTGTAAATAATTCTCCACAACACCCAGAGGGACCAGAGCTGACACAGCAGGGATTTCTCCCGGACACCAATCCTGGGCACTGCCCTCTCCTCCCCAACCTCTCCCACCCCCAGCCAAGAGACCAGAAAGGAAGGACTCCTTTCCTGTCTCCCCAAAGTCTCCCAGCCCAGACATCAGAGGAGGTTTCCACCAGACAGGACCCAAACCACGGTGTTTCTGTACCTTGGTCAGCGAGGACACGGATGATGTTCCCGGGGACATTAAATTCCTCCACCCTACAGGCATCCCCCAGGTCTTTGTTGGTAGAAGGCAGCATCTTCCTCTTCTGGAAGATCCTCCAGAGCACAGACGGCACCGGAACGAGGGTTTTGGGGCTGGGCTTGGTGCTCAAACCCAAGGATTTTAAGAGGAGACTTTCCTGCAAGCTCATCTCCCTCCCCAGAACCAGGTCAAGGAGAGCCCAGGCAAGGCTGGCCCTGAAGCTGGGGAGAAGCCACATTGCTCCGCTCTCCTTCCCACAGACAAAGAGCAGCCTGGGCTGGGGACCCGAGGACAGGGGCCAGGGGGGTGTCGATGGCCTGATTGGAGCCTTTCATCTGGTTAGTGCTCAATTAGCACCCAGGGATTCCCAGGATTGGGCAGAGGGTGTGAACGGTCCCTCCAGGCTCCTTGGGACCTGTTAACCCTTTGAGGCTGCGTGGAGGCGGCTGCCTCCTCCCCCCAGAGCTCCTACAGTCTCTCCCACATCTCCACACCATCCAGGTCCAACAACAAAGTCCTCGGTGGCGGGGAAGAGGCTGCTCTTCCCCACACAAAGATGCTGGCACGTGGAGCACTGCTCCCATCCTCTGCAGACATCCCACCAGATCCAGGTCTCCTCTTTCTCCCTCCTCCCAAATGAGCTTTTTTTCCCCCCTAATCACAGCACCCAACACTTCTCTCTCAAGGCCATCAACTTCCAGCACATCAAACCTTCAAACTCTTGCTTCATCTCCCTGTCCATAGGACACACAGCCTCCCCCCTGCCCAAGGGCCAGCACAAAAAGCCACCCTGGTCCCTGCCCCGTCACCTCAGCCCCTTTCCAGCCATCCCAGCAAACCAGCTGCAGCACATCCCATGTCACACACCCCCCCAATGGTGGCCAACCCCTTACCCAGCTAGATGATGAAGCCTGGGCAAGCTGGCACTATGAAATTTGGTTCATCCACATGGGCTTGGTACCGCCGTGACCCCAACCCGGTACTGTCCCTGCCCCAACTCCACTATGACCCAGCAGAAAGAGGCACGGGGTAGTGGTTCCCCATCCTGCAAACCCCACTTGGAAGCCAAGGAACCCAGACAGACCCCTCCAAAGCCCCACCAGGCGACGAGGAGCGAGAAGGTGACAGATCCTGCCACCACTGGGGACAGTTTCCATCAGCCCAAGTCACATTTTGCTTTCTGGTCACCCAGGAACTTTCCCCGTGGCTCACACCACGAGCCTGGAGTTGAATCAATAAAACAGACCAAACACGTGAAAAAAAAACAAAACAAAAACAACAAACCAAACCAAAACCACAAAAAACAATTAACCACGTTCTGATGGCTGGAATTAATGCCCTGAATCCTCTCCCCTCCACTGCCTGCTGTCCCCAGCTCTGTGTCCCCAGGAAGGACACAGGAGCTGTGGGGTGGTGGCCCCACAAGAGGAGAGTGACGGGATGGAGGGGCTGCAAATCCCACGGGGCTTCCCAGTAGAGACACAGCCCAGCCCAGCCTCGGGACTGGTGCTGCCTGGAAAACCAACACGGGGAGCAGAAACCATTTGTTCTTTACTCGAGTCACTGGGTGAGGGTCTGGAGATCCCTCAGCAGGGGACCCTGCAGGACTGGGACCAGCTTTTTAAGCAACTTGAAGACTTAAACAGGTGTTTTAAGCAAATTAAACCTCCTGGCCCTCATCTGACAGGACAGGAGGCTGGAATAATGCCCCAGGGTGGGGTTTCCAGGCAGACCCCGTGCTGTGCCTCCAGGTCTACGTGGGCAGCTCTGTGCTAGTGACCCCTCCTGAGGAGGAAGGCTCAGAGGTGCAGGGTGTCACCTCCAGTCCCTGCTGGGCAGCTGGAGAAGAGCTGGCTCCAGGGCTCCCCTCACCTGGGGACGAGAGGAGGTTTCCCCTCCCCAGTTTGATGCTGGGTCAGGGGACCCTTCAGGGCTGCTGAGGAAGGGTCGGTGGGAAGGTCCAACGATAAAGACAGAGGAAATCTCAAAGGGACTGAGAACAGCCGAGGGATGGAGTGACAGAACACCAGGGGACCTAAAGCCAGCTCCAAATCCTACCTGGACCAGCAAAGCCACCAGCCACCAGCTGAACCAGCGGGGACTGGCTACAGAAAACACACCAGCATCAGGTGAAGCCTGGTCACAGGCAAAGCCCAGCAGGGGCCTGATCCTGTCAGTGGCATCTCTTCCCCGGCGCCGGGCAGGGGATGGAGGGGGATCGGGGATGAAGTTCTTCTCCTTGTGCCTTTCATGTGCTGGGTTTGAGCGTTGTCCTGGGTCAGTCCCCAGATCCAGCCAGGCTGCCCAGGCCACCGCGGCCACGCTGTCCTTACAACCGCTTGTCTTTCACAAGTCCATTCTTCAGGTGCATCCTGTCAAAGAGAGCACGGGGGACAGTGAGCCTTGGCCTCCGGCCCTCCCTCACTCTCACCGATCACTGCTGAGGCCAGACCTGTCCTGACAGCCTCAGGCACAGAATCATAGACTGGTTTGGGTTGGAAGGGACCTTAAAGACCACCCAGTGCCACCCCCTGCCCTGGGCAGGGACACCTCCCACCACACCAGGCTGCTCCAAGCCCCCTCCAACCTCCCCTTAAACGCCTCGAGTTATGGGGCAGCCACAGCTTCTCTGGGCAACCTGGGCCAGGCTCTCACCACCCTCACAGCAAACAAGTTCTTCCCAAGATCTCAGCTAGATCTCCCCTCTTCCAGTTTAGAACCCTTCCCCCTCGTCCTATGGCTCCCCTCCCTGATCAAGAGTCCCTCCCCAGCTTTTCTGGAGCCTCTTTAGGGACTGGATTGTGGAAGTTTGTCCCCAGCAGCCAGACCTGCTCTGTGAGATCCAGCATCCTGCCAGACTTGGTGCTCACCACGTGAAGTGCAGATGCTGCTCAGAGAGAACAGCCTCAAGCAAAGAGCCGGTTCTTCATAGTGGGGAGGATTCACAGGACAGAAAGATGGATGGACACACCACAACACGTGGTGTGGACACACAAAGTCCTTCCTGATTCCCTCCATTACTTGCAGCAATGTTTTAAACTCTCCCTCAAGGTGCCCTGATCTTTGGCCATCCAGCCCAGTGGAGAACCCTTTGACAAGGCCCCTGGAGGTCTGCCCACATCCCTTCCTGTGGCCCAAAGACGTGTGTGATCCCCTCACCGCCCACATACCCTTCTTTCAGAGCATTGGGCAGCTGGAGTCCAGCCTCTTTCTTCTTGGCCGCTGTGGTTTTCTTGCTGTCCTCCACGTCGTACTCACGCACGTCGTTCACCTCTTGCATCTGCCCCATCAGCACCTTGGCCACGAACAGGATGATGTACTGTGGGGGGAAGAGACGTCATCAGCCACAAACCCTGAGGCTTAGAGCTGCTCCACACAACCCACCCACCCCCTTTTGCTACTTGGGACCTTCCTCCATCATCCTCAGCCCCAAAAAGGGTAGGGCAGGTCCCTCTGGGGTGGCCAAAGACCCTGGGAGGTGGCTGATGACCTGCAGGAGGAGGCAGAACTCCTGTACCTACCCTTAAACTATTTCATCCCCACAGGGTGATGACCTTGGAGTCTGGGGTGGCCAAAGACCCTGGGAGGTGGCTGATGACCTGCAGGAGGAGGCAGAACTCCTGCACCTACCCTTAAACTATTTCATCCCCACAGGAAAGGTGCCCAGCTCCTCCCAGGGTTGAGCCTGCTGTGAGCCCTCCACCCTTTTCATCCCCTCCCCAAAGCTTCAGGAGATGTCAGAGCATTTACACCCCTATCAAGGTCCAAACTGCCCCAACTGCTGGATCCCTGGGGTGAGAGACAATCTGAATTCCAGCGCAGAGGAGCCCCCCCAGGCACTGACACAGGTTTCCCTCCTCCCCTCCCAGCCATCCCTTGGTCCTCCAACACCTCCTCCATCCCTGTGGCCCCCCAGATGCCCCCAAAGGCAGGCAGCAGGGACCGTGCCGGAGGGAGAAGGTAGCACGGGCGTTGCTGAGCTCCCCCTACTCACCAGGAACCAGTAGATGTTCATCAGAGTGAGGATGAGGAGCAGAGCATTGAAGAAGAAGTAGAAGGGGATGTTGGGGACCGACTGGAGGCTGGAGTAGCAAGTGGCGTAGAGCACCTTGAGGGGGAACCAGTAGAGACGGAACCAGAACCTGCCAGGGCAGAGGGAGTAGGGTGGGTTTAATGGGGACCCCGGGGGAGGTGTGAGACCCCCCCAGCACAACCCCCTGTCCCTGGGTGGTCCTCGCCAGCGTCCCTTGAAGTCCCTGCTCTGGGCATCTGGCTTGGGTTTGTAGGCTGGCTCTGGATGGGATGCCACACAGTGAAAGGGGCACGACTGAGGGGAGAGGACAATTCCTGTGGGCAGAGAGGGTTCAGCAGCAGAGGCAGAGAAAGGGCTGTCTCAGGGTGGAGGGGAAAGTCTACAATGAAAATTCTCTCAACTGGGTGGAGGGGAACATGGCTGGAAGGTTTTCTTCATCCTCTGCATCCCTGCTTCATCACTAAACCCTCACTGCTGAGCAGCCCCCAGAGAGGGAGGAAGGAGACAAAGTGACAAACGAGGAGTGACAACCTGCAAGTTACCCATCTCTAGTCTTTTTCTTTTTTCCCTCCTGCCTCGCCCCAAGAGGAACAGCAAGGCTGGAATCTGGGACAGCCCAACGTCCCGTTTGCTTCTTACAAAAGCCCTTCTTGCTGCTAAAACCCAAGCAAGAGTGGGAAAATGGAAACAGCTCCTCCTC